CACATGAAAAGACCTAGGTTTACAATTTATGATTAAAACTCTACTATCTACACAAACATACACAGACATAAAATGTAAAAACTTAAATATCTTAGAAACAGTAGCCAATCAGTTGTTTTAATTGTCATATTTGAATTCAGCACATCAAAATACATAATAAATAGCACATTTTATCTCTGAAGCCGACGACTTCTCAAAAATTGTAGACCAGTGTTATGGCCTTGACCCAAAGCCCTCTGTGGTGAACAGAAAGACTCTTGTTAATGTCAGTTAAATTTGGATCACAGAGCACTGAAGTCAGACCTGAGGGGGGAAATATCAGTCAGGTATTAGAAGGGAGCATTACAATCCTTTGATATATCACCATGATTTCATAATCACAGGGGGCAGGCAATGCATATTCCATGACCACATGAAGCTCCTTCCCAAAGCACCCAGTTGCAGATGAGTGAGCAGAGTATAAAGAGGCTTCCAGTCCTGCCTCTGGTTCCAGGTCATCCAGAATCTTCCCTGCTGCTCCTTTCCACATGAGGAGCAGCAGCAACAGGCAAGAGGAGTGTGCAAGGAGCAGATTAGAGAAATCTCCAGCTACAGACAAAGGAGCAAAAAGGACGCCAGGGCATCACAGGCCCCCCACCTCACTAAACCTGCTCAGCAGAGCTACACTTTAGAATCTGCCCTAGAGAGATTACTTGACTTGCTTGGGCAAATATAGGAAATATGTGGCAGAGTCAGGTACTGTATCTGCATCTCCTGCATGTCAGGCCAGTGCTTTGATTACAAGACCATCCTTCTCTAATGGTGGAAGGAACGGGAAGATTGATTCTAATTTTGAAGTCGTCACTGGGTGTTATAAAATCATCGTGTTTTTATTTTATTCCAGAGAAAGCCTGGGCAGCTCGCATTGTTCTGCTGGAGATAGATGTGCAAAGAACCTTTGGTTAAAAGACATATAACATATATCGCAGCAGTTCTCCAAAATGATTTTAAACCGACCCCCTCCTTGCTGCTTCTGATTTCTTAATAGTCACAGTCCTCCTGTTTCTGCAGCTCTGTCAGGAAATATCCTTTAGTGGATGAGTGTCACCACACAGTTCTTCCAGCACTGAGTGGCCATAGGAAGCAAATCCTGATGTCTATAGCATTTCAAACATAGTAAGCTTCATGTCAGGGGCTTGAGCCATCTGGCCAGCTTGTCAATTAATACACTTAGCCGCTGAAATTTGAGCAGTTGCAGATATTACTGAAATCACATCACTGTGAAAGAACAACTGAACAGCAGGAGAAGGCAGGGAAGGGAAAGCCTTAAAACATCCAGAAACTTTCTGAACACAGCATCTCACAATGTGCAAAAAACTTTCTGAACATGGTAGGGCTACTGTAAGATTACGTCTACACTTACCTCCGGGTCCGGTGGCAGGCAATCGATGTTCTGGGATTGATTTATCGCGTCTGGTCTAGACGCGATAAATCGATCCCGGATCGATCCCGGAAGTGCTCGCCGTCGACGCCGGTATTCCAGCTCGGCGAGAGGAGTACGCGGCATCGACGGGGGAGCCCCCCTGCCGCGTCTGGACCCGCGGTAAGTTCGGACTAAGGTACTTCGACTTCAGCTACGTTATTAACGTAGCTGAATTTGCGTACCTTAGTCCGAAGTGGGGGGTTAGTGTGGACCAGGCCTAAGTGAGAGAAGAATCCAGGCCCTTTAATTCAAAGTTAATGGGCCTGATTCTCCAGTATCCTGCAGTGCGAGCAGTCATTTAAACCAGTGCAAATCATTATTCTGATATAGTAGCATTTCACATTCACTTTGTACTAGTGTAAGTGGCTACGTACAGTGCAGGGAAATACAGAAATCAGGCCCAACAAGCGTGGGTCAAATTCGGTTCTAATTTATATCGGTATAATGGAAGTCAAAGCCCAGCCCTGTGGCTTCATTTTCAGTGGTTTATGGATTTTGGTCTTCTTCCTTACGATAATACATGCATTAACAAAATAACATCTTGAACTTTAAAATGCAACGCGGAAGAAGCACAGAAAATTTGGACTAGTCTTTCCTCTTGGTTGGTCCTTTGTTGTTTTGCAAGAGCCCTTTGCTATTTGAAAGAAATCTATGCTACTTGGGCTATATTCTCCTCCCATTTTTACTTCTGCAATCCTGTTTAAGTCAATTGGGTTGCAGTGGTATAACAAAGATGAAAATCTGGCCCAGTAACACAACGTTTTGATGGGTTTGGGGTTTAACGTCATTGAAATTCCAGTAGGATGATAACAGAATCTGTGTTCCTCAGAGAAGTACACTGAATCTGATCCAGTCTCTGATGATGAATTGGGATGTTAGCTTGGGACTGGGTAGGATCCAAATGGAATTCTAGGGTTATCCAAGACAATCTAGCTTTCCCACTTAGTTATGCTAAGATCTGACCCCGTTTCTGCTCAGTCATCCAGACATGTTAAAAACAACCAGATAAGATAACTACATACTCAATACTGCAAACCAACTCTTGAAAACTGGAGTGACTCCTGAATAAAAGAGATTTGCTTGGCCCTAGCCACTTTGAAGCCAGAATGCTGACCTAAAGGAGCAGCAGAGGATTTTCCCGGACAGAGCTGTGGGTGGGGCAGAACACATGTTGTTCTACCTGATCCTTGGCTGGTGCAGTTGTCCATTATGTAGGAACCTGCATGGAACTTGGAGGGAGGAGCACAGGTTGCAGGAGGGAAGAGTTTGGAGGAGGCCCCAGGAAGACAGTTGTTATGCAAATAGCTGGAAAGCTAGTTGGTGTTGCACGACCTCAGGAAATAGTTTTCTTAATAAAGAGCCAGTTTAGTTTTAGAAACATTGACTCCCCAGATGTTATTACCCAGTATACAGTACATAAACACCTATGCCAGGGTCCATTTTGGCCACTGACCAACCAAGGACTGAGCAAAGCAGAAACTCTGCTTATGTCTGGCCCACAGCATTTCTGCTAAGGCAGACACAGGAGTCTGGTGAGGACTTTGCCCTACAGCAGGGATCAGCAACCTTTGAGGGAAATCCGCTGGCGGGCTGGGATGGGTTTTTTACCTGCAGCTCCCACTGGCTGTGGTTCACCGTTTCAGGCCAATGGGGGCTTCAGGAAGTGGCGGCCAGGGCCGGCTCCAGGCAACAGCCTGGCAAGCAGGTGCTTGGGGCGGCCGCTCTGGAGAGGGGCGGCACGTCCAGGTATTCGGCGGCAATTCGCCGGACGGTCCCTCACTCCCACTGGGAGCAAAGGACCTCCCGCCGAATTGCCGCCGCAGATCGCGATCGTGGCTTTTTTTTTTTTTTGGCTGCTTGGGGCGGCCAAAACCCTGGAGCTGGCCCTGGTGGCGGCCAGCACATCCCACAGCCTGCGCTGCTTCCCACAGCCCCCATTAGGCTCTTTTACCAAAGCTCTTTTAAGGCCCCTGTGTCATGGGTTGCCCCTTGAAGCCTGTGTTTCTCAGATTACAACCTTTTGTAGGGCAACATTAATTTTCCTTCATTTTATCTCTGGCTTGTGTGGATGTTTGTGCCGATTTTGCTGAGGCCTCAAGTCATTATGTGAACTGCTGCTGCACAAATAAGGTAGCAGCCACAGTGTAAATATTGCTGTAGTGTAATGCATTGTGACTAGATGCAACATGATCCCTATCAGCCCATGACAGTTAGTAAAAACAGGCAGTTTTCCAGAAGGGAAAATGCAAACCATTTAAATGTAATGCAGGGACTGAAATATTCCAACTACTTCCAAGAAAGTTGAAACACATTTAAAACGTACTCTTCGGATTTGAGGTTTATTTACACATGCCCAGCCCTGCACAGAAAATCAGTGGTAGGAACACACACACATTCACACTCCTACCTCTCGCTTTCTCAACATTTTACTTTATCATTACAAATGTACATGAACTTTCCACATAGGTGTTTAATCTTACTCAGAATTTGTAGTTGTTACCTTTAAAAGAGCCTTTCGTGTTGAGTCAACCTCTTCTCGTTATCTGTTTATTTTGTTCAAATTCCAAAAATGGTAAATCTACTCAATCCTGCTATAAGGCTGTTTCTCCACTGAACGGATTTTCCATACTTTACTTCTGCATGGCACTAATATCGGGTGAATCTGTTCTTTCACAAATCTGAGCTATCAGACATTTTTATAGACTTGGTTCTTCTAAATTAGTACAGAGTGGCCCCCACACCCTTCGTACTCAGCACTACTTCTAAGTGTTGCAAGACCTACATGTAACTCTTTCATTGCCACAGAGTACAAAAGTCAGAGTAGAATTTGGTCTATTTTCCCAGGTTATAAACTAGAGCCGCTCATAGTATTTAGTTACAGCAGTGTTTTTCCCCCATTGAGGTATCTACATAGCACCAGTTCTCCGTTAGACTTTTTTGAGACCATTTCAGTGCTACAACAGTGTTAGGATTTTATGGTGAGTCTCGCAATATTTGGTGTTTTTCTTAAAGCCCCAGTTTCTAGAATCACGGTATTTTGTGAGAATTTCAGCTTTCATGAATGAAGTGAGCTTCCAGCTCATGTGTTTGCAGAGAAAAGCTTGAAAACATGATCTGCGTGGAAATTAATGGTTCAAAATCCAGAAGGCAAAAGAAGAAGAACCCAGCATTTATCATTTTTAAAAAGACTCATGAATTTTAAGCCAAGTTCATGATTTTTGAACACTTGGGGCTGGCAATACTGCTACAATCTCTGTGCTGCGGGTGAATGGGGAAGTCCTTCTACAGTGAAGTACTTTAGCAGGTGCCTAGGCAGCACCAAGGTGTGTTTTGTACCACTCATCTACTACATTAGGCAGCAAAGTTGTTAATTGGGGGCCCAGTCCTGTAGGCCTGACTCACATTGAGTATCACTTACTCCTCTGAGTAGTCCCATGGGCTTCGGTCCCTCCAGGTTAATGTGATGTGGGGGAGCTGCCCGTCCCACCCTCAGTGTCATACCAGCCTTGCGGATACAGCAGTCTCCCGGGCAGCCAATCCAGCAGCTCTCACAAGCATTCACTTTACAGAAGGAGTGAATGTGGCTAAAACAAGAGCTGAAAGATCACCAAGCACTGACGGATTCTTAAAGCATCATCAAGACCTTCTTCATGGCTTTGTAACTACTTTTACTCATTCTTTTTTAGATAATTCTTTGGGCCCCTGAGAGATCTTGTTTCCCTTCCTCAAGCAGGTACACTGGTGTGTTGCTGTGGTGGCTCGGGCAGGTTTGGTTACTGGTGATGATTTTAAAAAAATATATTTAACACTGGAGAACTTTTTCCAGGGGAAACCTCATGTATAAAACATGGCCTTTATGAAGGAGACCTAAGGGTTGGTATAGGCTTCTTTGAAAATGGCAGCCTCAGTCAATGGTGGCTACCGACATGCTTAAAGCTAAGCATGTGCTTAAGTGATGTGTGGATTGAGGCCTAAACATTCCATCCTGTAGCTCTTATTCAGGCAAAACTCTCATTGATGTGACTGGCTGGGAAACCTGGAATACATTGAATCCCTTGGAAGTCAATATTTTCTGGCGTACCAGTGTTCAGTCCTGCAAAGTGCTGAGTGTTTTCAACTTCCATTAGCTTCAATGGGAACCCTTACTTCTGGCAGGCATAAAAACCCTCATAATTCCGGGCATAAAAAACAACTCTAGATATTGGGGGTTAGGAGGAAATTTCCTCTGGGGACAGATTATCCCATCATTGCCAATTGCTGGTTTCTTGCAGCCTTCTCTGAATCATATGGTACTGAGCAGCATTGAAGAGAGAATACAGAACTAGATGGACCCCAGGGTGGGGATTCTTATATGCTTTACAGGATCGAACCCTTCAAGTGCATTCTGTTGGCAAAAGGGGAAAACAATAGCTCAAGGAACCTGAGGAAATAAACCGTATATAATACTTCATACAGCTCTATATTACCTTCCTCTTCAGGCACGCACTCTAATTCACATTCATCTACCCAGCAGGTACTCTTTATGTCTTTTGAAACCTCAGTGTTTGGACCAGAAGTAAACAAGACTGAAAAAGGCAGAAGTCATCAAAAATATGCTGACACCACTGGCCCTACAGGCCACAACAATCCATCATATTCATTGTCTCAGTAAAATTGCCGGTGTAGACAGAATGTAAATGCTGTAATATAAGTAGCAATAGCTGAACATGTGTGTAGGGTACTGGACATATTAGTGTCATAATCACATGATAAATAAAACCATATTACTGTACTGACTGTACTGCACCAAATTTGCTAATATAACCTTTCCCTACCTGAAAGCTACAGGGCCTAAGCAAATGTGCTTCCACTTGAAAGATAAAGCGAGGGAAAGAGCAGTGTGAGCGGATTTATAATGAATGTTCAGCCATGAAGTGAAAACAAAAGGGAATCTGGCAAGCAGGTAAACAAATGTTAAGACAAGTATAGGGAACCCTTTAGGAAGCCTCTGAAACTAGATGTAAAATGGCACAAGGGGGACTACTGCATTAGAGTCTGAAGCAGTTTAGAATCATGATGCTAACGGTACAAACGCTGCAGGCTGGAAGTAGACAAATGAGCTGAATTAGGGCCATTCTACACTAGCAAATTTCGCTGCCTAGTCTACTGGTATAGTTAAAGTGGCAAAACCCAACTAGCACAGATTGTAGTTGTACCAATATAAAAAGTGCTTATACTGGTATAGTTTATTCTGGTTCAGAAAGAGGAATACATGTTTCTGGTATAAGGTATCTTCAAAGTGGCATAGCTGCACCCACACTAGGGTTTATATGAGAATAAATGTATCAGTAAAAAATCCACACCACTAACCAATATTTTTATCCTGGTACTACTTTTCTAGCGTAGACCAGTGCTAGGTGACTTGCCTTCAAAATCTTAGGCTACACTGATGGACAGTTCAGGCTACTCATCCAAATTTGATATGAAGGGAGACATCACCAGAACAGGGCTGGATCATGCTCCCATTAACTTCAGTGAAAGGAGGATTAGACTAATGTTAGGCAATCTGCGGATGCATAGATTAAACGAGGCTGTGTAAACAGACAGAAATTAGGTAACTATTCTTAGAGAGGAAAGAGTGTCTGGTGGTTAAAGGACTGGAGAGAGTCTTTGGACCCAAGAGTCTCACGTGACTTTGAGCAAATCACTCTCTATCTCTGTGGCTGGGTTGCCCATCTATAAAATGGGGAGAATAATACTTCCTTTCTCCGCCTCTTTGTCTGTCTAATCTATTTAGATGATGAACTCTTCAGAGTGAGGACTGTCTTTTACTATGTGTCTGTACAGCACTGTAGCACAGTGGTCTTGGGAAGCCTGCTACAGTAATATATATAAATAATAAAATATATCCTGGCAGCAGGGCTGGCTCTATGTTTTTTGCTGCCCCAAGCAAAAAATTTTTTGGCTGCCCCCCATCCCAGCTCTGGGCTCCCCCCGCACCTCCCTGCCACCCCAGCCCTGGGCTCTCCCCCCCACCCCACCCGCATCCCCTGCCGCCCCAACCCTGGGCTCTCCCCCTCATCCCACCCGCACTCCCTGCTGCCCCAGCCCTGGGCTCTCCCCCCCACCCCACCCGCATCCCCTGCCGCCCCAACCCTGGGCTCTCCCCCTCATCCCACCCGCACTCCCTGCTGCCCCAGCCCTGGGCTTCCCCCCACCAGTGCTGACTCCGCCCGCTCCCCACTCGCCTCCAGCCGGTCCAGCACTGGCAGAGTCGGGGTAAGCAGTGGGGCTCCTGGGCCGTGCCTCAGCTCAGGGTCCCTCCAGCCGGGGCTCCCGCCTCCAGGACAGAGCCGGGGGACCGTCCGGCAGAGGGCTGAGGAGCCGGGGCAGGGCAGCCCAGAGGGAGCGGAGCCCCAGAGAGCGGGACGCGGGCCCCGCATGGCAGCGCCCCAGGCACCGGTCCCCACTATGGCCCCGCTGCTGCTGCTCCTGGCCGCCCTGCCGCAATCCCTGGGTGGCTCAGGCCACTTCGCCCAGCCCCGGCTGCAGCGCTGGGGGGCTGCAGCACTGGGGGGCAGCCACCCTGCGGCATCTGCAGGCAGCTCTGTGTGCCCCGCGGGGAGGTCCCCAGCCCAAGTGTCCCGTGCTCGGAGCCCGCCTGGCCATAAGGTGCAGGCGCTGCTCCCTGACGCGAACAGCAGTGGCCCCAGGGCGGCCCCAGTGCAGGACGCGCTGCTGCTGCCAGGGCCAACTCTAGGCTTTTGCCGCCCCAAGCGAAAAAAAAAAGGCTGGCTGGAATGCCGCCCCTGAAAATGTGCCGCCCCAAGCACATGCTTGGTTTGTTGGTGCCTGGCGCCGGCGCTGCCTGGCAGATTGTTTATAAACATGTTAGGGCTTGATTCTCCACAAACTTGTGCGGATTTAAAATCAGTATAAACCCATTGTCTTCCATTAAGTTAATCTTGATTTACCCAGTTTGTGAGATCCCTATGCATGAATTTTGATAAGTAAAAAGCTATTGTTTAAGTACATCAGAAAGAAAAACAAGTATATATTTGTTTAAAGTGGATATTAGTTTCTAGAGGCTTGAACCACCCTTCTGGGAGACTATCACCACCTGAATGTGTATTTATAATGTTTGTGAATGAATATTGCTTATCCACTAGAGAACAGGGTTGTAGAGTAAATTAAGGTTTGAGCCTATCATAAAAATGCCTTCCAGAATCCCTAGGAAAAGACTGCTACACACACACACACACACACACACACACACACACACACACACTATT